ACCAAGAAAGTTCAAATGAGGAGCAATGCAATTTGTACATTTTGGACAATATCATCCTGACTGGTCTTTCACAGATGCAAGCTCTATTCATAGCCATCATGCACACTTCTACTAATTTCAGTGACTTATTGGAACAGCCTTATATTGAGCTAAAGGAATATTATGATTATTTGCAAGATCCTTCGGTAACATCTGATGTAGTACCATGGAAACAGCTGTTATTTACAGTGGAGAACATCACTTCTTTCTTCACACATTGGGAAAATCCTGACCAGCTTGGGCAATGTGTTTCGTTATGTTGTATTTTCAAGATTTTTGGATTAAATCTCTAATTTATCAAGTTTGAAAAAAAAAAAACTTTGAATGACAGCAAACAATGAGGGTACATTATTTCTTCATTCATGCTTGTGGGACAACATCTGTCTTGGAAACAATAATTATGAGCAATTTATGAGCATTAGCAAGATTCTTGGATGGAATTTGATTGACCATAAAGCAATGATGAGTTGACAGTAAGCATACATAATATACAGTACATGAATTTTTCTTCATTAAATTTATGGAAGACTCTTGGATGTTTGGGTAAATCTATGAATATTAGCAAGGTACTATCTTGATTAACAGTGCTTAGCAACACAATATTTAGTATTTTCTTCATTCAACTTATTGGGAATGTGTGGACATGTTGGACAACAATATTTTATAAAATTATTTTTTAAAGATATTTGCTTGATAAAAGGGTTTGTCGTCATCATCACAAAATCAACTTGGATGGACAGTAAGAACACAATGCAAGCAAGAGAAATATGATGAGCTTCATGTGATAAATTGACAAAATGATGCAGAATTGTTGTTGGAAAAGACTTAAAAGCAAAGTCAAAAACTGTAAAATCAACAACTTCAAGTATAACATTGATCAAGGAAATAGATATTAGTGAAGAATATTGTCCAACAACAACATTTACACTATTTCTATGATTACATCGCTGGATAGATGATGAAATTAAAATGAAAAGACAGCAAGACTGAGACAGTTATTTTGTTTATTATTCATTCCCAATCATTTTGTGATGTTTAAGAATCCTGGATTTATGTGTCTTAACTGTTATCATCAGTAACAAAAATACATGATTACTTTTGGCAATTTCTACTGACTCATGGATATTTACTACAAARTTGAACATTATTAGAAGTACTGACGGCGCTGATTGGTTTTACAAACTTTAAGAATAATCAAAGGTATCAAAGACATTGTATCATTGACTGCTTGCTTTATCTGGACCATCATCATTCAAATTAATTGGTCCGTAAATCAAGGGAATAAACTACCAGCAGCGTAGCCATCAACCAAACTTGTACAATATTATCTTGTGATTTAATATACATTGAATCAATGGCTGAACATACTACTACTGTTGAACACGAGAAGACAAGATAAACAGAATTCTATATGCTGGTATGTAGGATCATTTGAAAGGAAATCATCAAGCAGTTCAAATTGACTGAGCTCCCAGCTTTGGCAAAGATTATTTCAAAATCTGGACACAAGTATTGAATGTATATTTTTTTCTACAAAAAGTTTATAAAAATAAACAATTGTCTGGTTTTAAGAATTTAATTCATAAAATATTAAAATATTTCAAGTTAAAAATGACTTTCTAATTAAAAAAAGGTTTTAAAAACAAGGTAATTCTTTTTCCAAGACAGGGCTCTTGTATAAACCTTGACAAAGTCTAAATACTTTATGGTCAAAATATTAATTAAATGAAATTCAGTACTACCTATAGATTTTTTTATAAACTAGAATCACTGAGCATAATCTGAGACTTGCCTTACTAAATGCTCCCATTTCAAGCATCTTTTATTCTTTGACTGCCATTGATTGCAGTGAGACCTTGTGTCTGTATCTTCAGCAATTTAATTA